CCTAATTCTTACAACATCTGAAGCCATAATATGTTTGGCTTGATTTTGGCTTTTGGGGGGTGGGGGATGCCTTTGAGTCTGTCTTGACTCCTGGCGACTACCTGGACAAGTCCCTGCAGTTTTCTTGGCAAGATTTCGGAAGTGGTTTGCCATTGCCTGCTTCCTAGGGCTGAGAGACCTAGGGCTGAGAGTGACTGGCCCAAGGTCACCCAGCTGGCTTGGTGCCTAAGGTGGGACTAGAACTCACTGTCTCCTGATTTCTAGTCTGATGCCTTAACCGCTACACCAAACTGGCTCTGATTTTGGCTTGGCTTGTGAAAAATAATTGTGGCTTATTCAGTAAACCATAGCTAATAAAATATGCTTAGAGTGATATGCGCATTCAGTTACAGTATATTAGTAGCAGTAATTTGCTGGATCAGTTTAATTCTGGGTTCACCGATAATTATCATGAATACTGTTTGCAAAGCACACTGGATGGCTTCATATAACAATCAGGTGAAATAAACAAATTACATTACAGTTTATTGTGATGCATGATTGCAATTAAAGAGTATCATACCAGAGCTGTTGTGTGTATTTTTGCCTTCCTACCATCCTGGTGTTTGTTTTTCTGTATCCTGGTCTTTGAACTTTCAGTCTATATGCTCTTTGAGAGGTGTAGGTGTTATGCATCTTTGCCCATAAAATGTTAATGTGAGAACACTTGGTCCTCAATAGCTTGTCAATGTGATTTGACAGGAAAATGGGACTGAACAAAAATTAGAAAGGTTACAGTTATGATGGGTAGTATCAATAGATTATAGTCTTTACTGTCCTGTAGTATGCTAGAGCATAAAATTATATCTCTAGAAATGATAGCCTGGGAGCTTATTTATGTAGGGGGAAACTTTCAAGTTAATTCCCAATCTGCTGTTAGCAGCATGGAAACTACAAGGTTCAATAGGGTAGGCAAGCAAAAGCCTCTCCTCTTGCCCAGAATTCCTATCTGGGTGTAAAGGATCTAAATCTTATCCAGGATTTTTGGGATAGGGGAACAAAGGGGGCAATTGTTTTGCACTCCACACAAAGAAGAGGACTTATCCAAGGTATAATTCAGTACTTGAAATGTTTGGATTCTTTTTATTGAAAATCATTAACCAGATAAAATATAGCCCCAGGGATCAAGGGGGCTCTCAGTATTTTCAGTTTTTCCAATGATTTTTTTTTGGGGGGGGATCTACAGATTTAATCATATCCCATTGAGTCATTGCTTTCTAACTTCTCATGGTTAGAGGCTATAACAACTGAGTCATGTTTCCAGCCTTTACCAGTAATGACTATTAGCAGCTCATCTATAGTTCTTGATTTGCGATGTTCTGTTCTTAGGATATAGTTTACAGCTCTCCCACTGATCTCCACAGCTTGCTCAAATTCCAGCTTTTTAACAGAAATCATAAACTGGCTGCATTTGACCATCAAAGCCAGATAACCACAAGATGGCAGGTAAAAGAGATACAGAAAATGTCTTCACGAAAGTGTGCAAGCAAAGCTAGCGAAAGAAAGGCAGAGTTGCCACCAGCCCATCTGTCCTCCGCACAGCCACAAAAAACATCATTCATGGATGGATGGATGGATGGATGATCAGGTATGTTCATCTGACCCTGGAGTCGCTACTTTGATATCAGAGAAAAACTGAATGTACCAGCAGAACATCTCCCTACTGCCCCACCTTAGGATAGCAGAGGTCCTGCTTACTGGCCTTCAGAAATTACTGAACAAATGCAAAACGTATGCATCAGTAGAGGGCCTGATTATTTTCAGTATGCTGATGGAATATTTGAAGCTTCAGCTCAAATCTATCCAAAGCCAAGACACAAATTCTGCAAAAGTGTATATTAGAAAATGCAGAGACATAGGACTATTCCATAATAAGCCTAAACCACCTGTCTTCCATGCTGCTCCCTGCTGTTCCTGAAACCAATTTTTTAAAAAATTCAATCCAGATTACAGTAGTGTGGCAACAGAGCTGAGGTGGTGGTCAGTCCTGACCTTGGCCACCACAGGCCCTGATTGGCCACTCCCCCGTTTCTTGCCTTTCCCATCTGTGCAGGGAAGGTAGGTTTTGCTGGCTAGCCCTTGTGTGGATTGGTTTACCAGTGCTTATCTTCCTTCTAGAGTTTGTTCCTTCCTCGCTAGTTCATCTAGACCAACTTGTTTTAATGCTATAATGATTAAAGGAAAGGAACACATTGTACCTTTCTTCCTTCATTCCGTTGTGGATCTATAGAATACTAGATCTAGAATTCCATAGAAGCTTTTTGTCACATAATACATTAAAAAGAGAATGGTAAACCAGTAACAAATGTGTTGTCATTATCTCTAAATTTCATTTATACTAGATTATGAAGCATGAGAAAGATTACAGTCTGCAAGCATCCTCTATTATGAAGGTACAAATGCCACTTTATTATTTTATGTCAGTTATACAATACACATTTTTAATATGTGGTCTGTTAATCTGTTAAAAGATGCACAAAAAATAAGGAAGCGGCAAATATAAAGAGCAACTAAGTAAAAAAAAAAAAAAGGAAAACAACTTTTTGCAAGTTTCAAACCATCTTCAGTTCTATGTACAGCATCTGACTTTGTTTTAGACAGTCCCACAGGGGCTAGCATGCTTTTGGTTCTAAGCACCAAACCATAAATGTCTTAAACATGATGGCAGATCATAGGGTTTTTTTTTTTAATTATTTCCAGTACAATCTTTTTAAACAGTGGGGCTTGAGGGGACAGGTGTCGTTGGGTCATAGAAGAATGAATTGCTGAGTTGGACTAAGCCATAATGTGCTTTGCTGGGTTTCAACTTAGGGCTTTCTATGAACGCAATCATTGTGATTTGAAAACTGTAGTTTGTAGCTTAGTATTTTGTGCAGTCAGCTGTGGTTTAGTCAAACTATGGCTTACTGTATTATGCAAACACAGTAAAAGTCTAAGGCCAACCATATTTTCCTATTCTTTTCCTATTCAACAAGTAATGAGAGATAAAGAAGGAATGTGATTGTAACAAGATCATGAGGAGACAAAATATTGCTAATATAATATTGCTACATTCTGTAGACTAGACTGGGAAAATAATGTCAAACCATTTCCATATTGTTACCAAGAAACTGCATGGTTGTATCCAGGTCGTCATCAGGAGGAGCTGAGCTTGAGGCAGGCTTTCCCTTCTACACAGGCTTGTTGTTGGAGACAACAGATTCTGCCTAATAACAAACTTAGCTGTTGAGTACTGAAAGAATGGGAACCAACATAAGGTCACTGAGAAATAAGATATTAGCATGCTGGAAGGATCCCCAGCCCTCCCTCCCCTCCCCACCCCCCCGGTCCAGATCTGCAGAAGTTCAAACCAGAGCTTTCAAAAAAACAAATCTAATGGGGCAATAAACACAATATTCTCCAAACAATCCAGTGACGACCAAATATGTCAGCATGCATGAAACATTGAATAACAATTGGAAAAAGGTGGGTTGGGGGCAGTGAGAGGGAACTTTGGTAGCAGAGGAAAATGGATTTTTTTCTTTCAGTGAAATGGTGAAATCTTGAACAAGAACACTCCTTTTAGGAAGGAAAGTATACTGCAATATTTTTTGTTTTAGGGCTGTGTGAATTCTACTTGGAAACAGTACAGAAATCAAGGCTAAAAAAGTGCTGTTTGACCCCATGACCTGCCCCAGGTTGACAAGAGCTGAGTTGCCCGGAATAGATCAAGGTCACCAAGTGCCATTAGAGGTGATGCAATGTTACTGTCAGCCTCTACGGAGAAGAGGAAATGTTCAAACAGACCACAGAGTGTCACTAGTGGGCTGTAGTTCCCTATCATAAAAGTTACTAAAGAGACTTGCAGCACCTTGAAGACTAA